GGGGGGGGGGGGGGCGGGGGAGTAACCCCTAAAAAACCTCTTCTGTTGTGATCTACTCTTCCAGTAAGAACTGAAGACAGTCTTATGATTACAGGTGACAGGCCCCACCAACACTTGAAAAAACCTTTCCAAAACAGATCAGAAAAAGACACAGACCCAACCCAGCCCAAGCCATTTCCCTGAAGAGAAGAGATTTTCTTAAAACAAAGTCCCAGTAATTGCACATTTTAAAAACTTAAGAAATTTTAATCCAATAATATAAAGTGTTGTAAAGGAATGAAAGGTGTAAGAGATATTTGCTGTTCTTCTGACTGTCTAAGTTTTCAAAATCAGCAATAAATCTGAAGCATTAAGTACTCAGTCTTCCAAACTCAAACTGGCTATACATTACAAGCAAAAATAAAATGCTGAGTCACCAAACTATAGTTCTTTCTGACTAACAAGATTTTGTATACTAAAAAGTGACCAAACTGATTTGTAACCCTAAGCAAGAACATCTGCTATTTCTCATTTCCACTGTGAGGAGATACTTGGATCAAAAAGCTCTGAAGCAGTGTTGCCCAACCCTTTTTCCCCCTTGGGCCAGATGGATGGTACTCAGTCCTTCTGTGGGCCAGATCCAGCCAGGGGGTTGCAATCTGGCACTTGGACAGTGAGGCAGGGCCTGATCTGGCCATGTGGGGTGAGCTGGGCAGTGGCCTAGCCCCAACTGGGTCTCATGGGGCAAAGGGGTGTGGTCCAGCCCTGATCCAGCTGCAGTGGGGGGAAGGCTGCCTGGCTCAGCCGTGGATATAGAGCTTGGGAATTTGGCACCAGGGGAGGAATGGCAATATTACTTGCCACTAGCCCCTGGACACCAAATTTCCCAACCTGTGGGGAGCCTCACAGGCCAGATGCCATGGCTCCGCAGGCCAGAGGCTAAGCATCCTCACTCTAAAGTTAAGTAAAAGAGGAAGCTTGGGGGGAGTAAGAGGGGGAGGGGAAGAGGGAAGGGAGGTTGGAGCTGAGTAAGTCTTAATACTTAGGTAATCTAAGTATTAAGTAAAACATATGCAACAAATTGTACACCAGAAATTACTGGATTGATATTATGATCTTGCTGTGTGTTCATTATGCTGGCTGCCTGTGTGAACAAAGATTGAGTTCAAGGCTGTAATTTTAATCCCTTTCTGAATTCCTGACTTTTCACAACACTATCATGGCTCTTGAAGTCGAGGTATTCAGCATTTCTTGAACACTGACAAACAGGAAGAAGTACTGTCTACAGTTTGATTCAAGCAAACATCTATGAATGAGTGTCCACAGACTGCTGTTAACCAAAGGAATCCCCCAAAACCTCCTTTATGAACCCTCATGCAAAATTACACAGAACAACATCCAAAACATGAAGGATACCCTATAATAAAGAAAAAAGGAGACATCTTTTATCCTTTGACAAGCTACTGAATCATGAACCTGCACTGAGAGATGAGAACTTAGAAAACCCAGAAGGATGACATCACCTTGCTTCTAATTCTATGGGTTAATGAGATTCAGTGTAAAGAAACGGTGAGGGGTTGAGTAAAATAATCAGCAGCTAAAACATTCTGATACAGCTTAAAAGGCATCTCACCTGCATACATGTGATAAGTCAGTCTCTCAATGAGCTTGACAACAGTTCCTGCCTTTATGATAGGGATTCCAGATTTGGGCTGCATATTTTCTTCAAATACAATATTCTCTTCTGAATCTGGTTCTGCAAACCTATAAAACTCAGGACTTGGAAATCTCATCTGTTCCTCCTTCTCTTCCTGCAACATGGTTACATCTAGCATTCTTTCCAGAGTACTTCTGTACTGTAAAGATATCAGTGCTGCCATCCAGTTGTTTTTCTCTTCAGCTGATTTAGCAGCAAAAATAACACTGTTCTCATCTTTTAAGATGATTTCAAAGGCATGCTTGTACTCATTAGTGTCGTCTTTATCATTGATTTGTACCTTGCGCATAAAAAACTTCTCTTTCAGACGATATTCCGCATTGCTAGCACCAGGAAGTCGTGGCTGGCCATGATTTGACTTACAGCAAATCATTAAGCCATCAAAGAGGAATATATGTCTCTCATGTTTTGCGCCAACACGTGTGAGAGTTCCTTCCATTATAAACTCATTGCAGCACTGTCCAATGTCCTTACCCTCCCAGCCATCAATATTTTTCTGTATTTCATTCATTTTCTTGATTGCAAGCTGTTTCCCCTTCATTTGCTGACTATAGAATCTGCATGCAGATTCACTTTAATGAACAAGTTGGGAGTGGAAAAAAGAAAGTCTCTTATTAGAATAAGAATAATTAAAATATGGTTACTTTCTACGTGTAAAGATAAACATATTTTTCTTTGAGGCTGCATTTACAAAAAAAATCATTTAATAAGACATTTTTCTAATAAAAGAATCTCTCCAGGGAAAACATTTGCTAATTACCAAGTAACTGATTTTGATACAAGTGTCCTATGCATTAAAAACTATACATTCCAGGATACTTTAATTGAAATATTTTATTAGGAAAAAGCGAATATAATAGGACTTTTTTTACGGGTGCCCCAATAGAGATTTTTGGGGCTGATACCAATAGCCAATATTTAAGGAGGCATATCAGCCAATACCAATATGATTTCCAATATGGAGCCTGGCAGCTTCAAGAGCAGTGTCCGGCTGGTAAGTCTCTTATGGTGGAAGGGCAGGGAAAAGAGAAGGGACATGGGGGTGTGGAGGGAGAAGAGAAGGGACAGCAGGGGCTGGACTGTGTTATGCTCAGGGCGGGCAGTGGCAGCGCTGGGAGGAGGCTACAGGGTGAGGGGGGGACTGCAGCCACTCCCGAATTCACTTTAGCCCCCCCAACCCCTCTTCCCAGTGCTGCCGCTGCGTGCCCCGAGCATAGCCCAGCCCCTGCCAGGAACAGACCTGCACAACCCTGGCCCCAGTCCACCCCACACAGATCTGGGGGGCACCTCCCCCCCATGCCCTCCCAGGGTGTGCGCAGCAGCAGGAGCCACCCCTGCCCTGGACAAGCCACGGCTACATCCCAGGCCTCTCCCAGGTGAGCAGCATCTGCTTTTGCCTCAGCCCCACTCCCTCCCACACTGCAGGGGCCTTGATCTGCCTTCCCATGCTCATTCCCTTCCCTTTCCCCTCTCCCCTTCCACCACAACAGACTTACCAGCTGGACACAGCTCTCCAAGCTGCCGGACTGTGCTCCTCGCTGCCTACATGCTGTGTTGCAGCTGTGCACGTGCATGGGGCATTTATCAGCCACATTGGACCAATTTCTGATACAGCCAATTTTCCTTATATCTGTGCCAATCCAATATCAGATCAAAGTATTGGTGCATCTCTACATTGTTTACAACATGCTTGCAACTTATTTCAGTAATTGACTTAAAACCTTTTTTATACTACTTTCTTCAATGACTGGCTGAACTCTTTATTTTCTCTATCCAGATTTCTATGTCTAAATGTAAACACTCCACTTCTGAATTACTGATCAAACTTTATCCTGTGAAGATATTCACATTACATTCACTAAACTAAAATAATAAACAGATTTTTTGGACACAATGCCTGTCTCTTTAACAAACTGATGCTGCACTGATCATCATAATTTGCTTTAATTATACCAAACCTATGTGAATTAACAAGCACATAATGTTACAATTAATTATGGGGTGATACCTGAGCCTGGTTTCCAACTGGGTCTATAAACAAAAACCTGTTCAGATAATTGAAATACTTCTAGGAGATGAGAGTATCAATTTTCAACTGAAGGAATTTTTGTTAGCAAAGATACCTTTTAAAAGGTACCTATTAAAAAAAAAATCTACAAATATGGTTCCTCTTAATTTCTACTTACCAGTAAGAAGATTCTTGGGATGTCTTGATTAGTAGTGTGCAAGGGCACATACAAATACAAAAGGTTTTAAAACAATAACAAGTTATCTTGGCTTTGATGTCACTTCCTCTGAAAAAGTAGGCTTGTCACAAACTATTTTGTTCACTGTTTACTGAAAGAGGAAGCAGGGAGCCCTGGATTTATAGCAAAGCATTCAGGGATAAAAGCAGGAAAAAGGGAAATGTGTTTACCTAAGTCGTCGCTTTGCAAGACTTTTGGAGCATATTCTTTCCATGCTGCTCTGAAGGTTCAGCAGGGCTGTTATCGCTTGCTTCAAACATTCTTTATCCTCTTCATCCTCACTCCTTTCTTCTAGTTGCTGTGAATGTCAAAAGCCAAATATAAAACACACTACAGAATTTAGCGTGCTTCTGCCTACAAAACTCTACAAATAAATCTATTCCCCTAGGTTAAACAAGTTATTTGTTTGTTGGCTTGTGAGCTTTTGTTTAATACTGATAGCAACAGAATAATCTATATTAACTGGATGCATTACCAAAGGTAGTGTAGGAGATGAACCAGCTTAAGAAAGGAACCCCTTGTTTACCAAGGGGGACTCAGCTGTGCTAGGAAAGCAGCTACTGTTCTAGCTCAGCTGTCTAGTCCTCCTCCAACCACCAACCATATGGGAGAGACCCATTATATGTCAGAGAAACCTCATCCACCAGAGACTCACTAGACAGGGACACACCTGGACATGCATGCTTATTTCTAAACGAATTTGGTTATGTTTACCACTCCTGCATTAGATGCTTTACATTCTTGTAGAAAGGGACATGAAAGTGATGCTTCTGTATCTGTGTGCACACCTTTCTTAGGGGATGTTAGGAAATCTACAAAAGGCCAGTATGGGTTGTTTTGTTTTTTTTAAACAATGTGCAGCCAAACAGTCAGGATTTCTGGCAGAAGGGCTAGAATGAATGCTGAGAACATTCTCCTCCACACTAGAAGTCCAAGGGGATTTCCTGGAAGTAGGGTTAATTGGCTTTTGGCCCTGCAAGAAGACAGATAGAACATTATGCTGGGAGAGGTTTTGCTTCTTTGTGCAAGGCACAGAGGTGGGGACGGGAGCAGGGGGTGCTTGCGTGAGGAATAAAGTAGGAGGCATACACTGGGCATGTGAACCCATTTTTGAAGCACTCTTTCAAAAAGAGTTCCTTCCTTAAAAAAAAAAGTCAGTACAATTACTCTGGATTTATTACTGTAAGCTCCTTTGCTTTTGGCTGAACATCATTAAGAAGTTCTTTGTAACGTTACTGGAAGGTCCATACCTGGGTACCCATATGCAACAATTAAAGGTCAAGTGGGTGGAGCACCACTGTCATGAGTTTCAGGTAAAAAGGTCTACAACAGAAGACAGGAAAGCAGGTTACCAGTAAAGGTATCTACTTCCAATGGGGATAAGGAGGCCAGAGTGTCAATGGGACAACCCTTAACCTGTGGGTGTACTTAGAAGTACAGAGGTTAGTTATCAATAACTTACAGATTTGATATGAGACGAAGATCCCAACTTTACCCATATGAGCAAGAAGTGGATATCAGGCAGATATTAATATTATATAAAGTCAGGGTAAAGGAGTATGAAGGTGGTGTCACATCTAATGTAAAGATGTTGAAAATGTACAACTCCAAAACCAGATGACAATATGTCCTCAATAAGGCATGCTCATCTCTGTACAAATGTCACAGGACAGAGTTAATTTCCATTCTGACCTTTGAGAGGTCATCTCATGCTGTAAGCATCACCAAAGCTGGTGTTACCATCAACAATGACAAAGACAGCCAGCCCTCTAAACTAGTTCAGTTTCTCCCAGCCATAACTTCCTCAGAAGTAACTTTATATAGGAGAACAGCATCTCCTCTGGAATAATACTGAATGCCCAGTTGATACAGCTGGAAATAGTTACTTGGTTGTATTTTGGAATATATAAGGTCATGAGGAATAAAAGTTTATCGCTGAATATATTTTTGTAATGTAATTTCCAAACTCCTGAGAATACAATTGATTTTTTTTTGTAGATGTACAGTGCCCACTAGTGACTAAATGGAGTGAGCACAAATCAGGACGTATAAACTTTCTACTTCAAATAAAAAGCAGGACCAGACACTAGCCAGGGCTGACCAGACTACTATGACTATCAATTTAATAAAGTACCAATAATTTGCCTGGTCCAAGAATCCAGTGACCATTAAAAAAAAAGAAGAGGGAGCAAGAGAGCCCAACATTTTACTACCAAACATATTTCACAAACTTGAATCATACATTTGTGGGACAGCTTTCCCATGAAGCAGTACAATGCTTCTATGCCTGATGGACTGCAATATTAGGGACTATAACATTCACAGCAAAGCAGGGCTGAAAAGGACCTCACAAGGTCATATAGTCCATCCCCATTCAAGCCAAATATGGTGACAAAGGAACTGCAGTCAACTTTAAAAAAATGCAGCAATTAATATATACTGTAACACCACTTATAGCGTTTCAGCCTAAAAGCGGTACTCATTTTTATGCATTTTTTCAATCTTTGTACTGCTTCTAAACCATTGTCTGCTACTAGAATTCAAACAAAAAATAAAAACAATTTCTCAGTAAAAGAAAACGGAAAATAGAAGTTCAAGTATTGAAGAATAGCATACCCTAGCTCATTTCTTGGGCAAAACTCTGGAAAAAAAAAAAAGTCTACACAGGAGTTCCATAACTCTGATATAATGTAATTCTCACTGTACAGTGCGAATCACTTCACCACAAGATAATCTTTTCAGTAACTGCCTTACTTACTAATAAACATTCTGAGTATATAATGAAGTCTAGAAACAAAACAGAGTAATGATATTTTTAATTTGCAATAGACAGTAAAACTATTAACTCAACATAAAAATGATAGATAGCAGTAATAAAACTCATGATTTGGGGAATAGTTTAGTTACCAATGTGTGTGCACTAAGAAAGAAAGCTACAGAATTTAGATGTAAAAATGGAACACAAATTGTTAAGCACCTATTAAAATATCATCTAGCATTTAATTAATTATTCCAATAATGCAGTAAATTAACTAGTTCAAATCACATGATCTCTCTCAGCATTTTATTAGATTAGTCTAAAGTATTTGCATCAGTGCGTTTGTTAACCGATGTAAAGATTTGTAATTCTACAGCAGAATTTCACTAACTCATGATAAATCCAGGAGCACATAATAAATTACTTGAAATATTTCCCAAACATATAGACGGGAAACTAAATTACAACTCTGCAGAGACTGGAGAGTCCTGGTAATATACAATTTCAATATAAAAAAAACACTTTGATATTGGATCTCTGGGGATAGTCACTGATTTTTGAGTTATCAAATGAAGCTGGTTAAATTTACTGTGAAATATTATGTCACTGACAATCCAACTGAACAAACACTAGCGAAACAACTAAAGATATCTGAAAAAGACAGCAACTGCCCTATATTACTGTCTGGTATATCAATCCACAAGTCACAGTACTCAGGTTTATACTATTAGTAGATTAGAAAGACTTTTCTCAGAGAACAGTATTTTCTATTGCAGAACACTGGTAAACTTCTACACCTCGAACTACACACAGACTGCATACTTAATGTACATGTCACTGCCCAAACAGGCCTCAGAATATACCTGCCCATCTACCATGCAGAGAAGGTCTACAAATAGTTAAAGACCTTCCCACTATACCAAAGGGAATTTTCAGGTAAGTTTCCTAGTTATCCAAAAAAGAAAAAAAGCAGGCAACACAATATGCCTCTTTCCCATCTGAGAAAGACGTCTACAAATGTTGTAAATGTTTCTTTTGGCAGCTCAACAGAAGGATGCAGACAAAAAATGTTTTTGAATTTCAGCTTCTGTTAGCATTGTTCAGAAAATAAAAGCTAATTCTGTTTCGTTTATTCCACATAAGTACTTAAAAGCAATCAGTTGAAGAACTGACTTCCCAATACAACAATTGCAAATGCCCTGTAACCAGTACTTTTTATTGCTGCTTCAGCCTCATGGAACAAACCTGCAAAAAAATCCTAAACTAATGTCAACTCAATGGTCTCCCACAGATTGTACTTTATATGCTGTGCTTTCTACAATACATAAGAAAAGAACTTCAATGAAAAATAGAGCAGATTTGTAATTTCAGGTATGTGGTGGCAATTTTAATACCATTTCAGGGTGGTTTAGATGTCATAACCAGGGATTCGGGTTTTCTACTTCCCACGGGAAAAGGGGAAAAAAACACAGATTTTTCATTTTAATGGAGAAATGTGGATTTTCCACTTTTGCAAAGAGCTCTCTGAAGGCTGGCAGAGTTCCAGCCTGCAAGGGGTTGGGGGGAGTGGGAAAAGCACAATCAGCAGGGGGTGCAAAGTGCATGCGCGCACTCACACATGGCCACCAAGAAGCCTGGAGAGCAGCTCCTGAGGTTAAGTCTGGAGTGCCTGGGGGGATGGGGGGGAGGGAGGAGGAACTGGAGAGATTGAGGCCCCCATACAGAGGAAGGGAGTTGGGCAGGGCTGGGGCTGCTGCCCAGCTAGGGCAATGTATGGGGCTCAGGACCAAGACGGAGCTGTGGGTGGCACATATGAGGGTGGGGGTAGGGCATTGGCTCCCCACCAACATGCACAGTTCTGGGAGGTGGAAGGGGGAGCACATGCCCCCCAGATGTGTCCACAGGCAGCAGCTGGGGCCCAAGTGTTGTAACAGGGGGCTGTGGACCTGGGTCCCTGATCCTGTAGCCCTGGCAGCTGGGGGCCCCCTCTGGCAGGACTGGGTGGGGGGGAGGGTTGGGACTGGAGAGTGAAGGGCACCAGCAGGGATGGGGGGCTCTGGTTTAGGATTAAGGGGCCTGGACCTGTGTCTTGGTGAGCAAAGGGGGCAGGC